TTGTCACTTGTGCCACATATCTGTTAAATTTACTTAAAACCTTTTTGAGTAGAAATAGGTGTTGTAGGTCAGTAGACCTCTTTCTGTAGGGTTCCCATAGAATGCTCTTGGCTTTCTATAAAATAGGAACCAGTAGCTCAGTTACCAGTAAAGTGATTGAATAATATTTCACATCCCAATCCATAGTGGAGTAATGTGCTGAAATAATTAAAAAAACAAAAACACACCCTACCCTGTACTAAATTGATTCTTAGGACCTCAGGTTTTTCAGAGAGACTGTTTTTGCAAGTAGCTTTACTTGTAGAAGCTGTGGCCTTTGGCTGCTTGTTATGATCCTTTCTACAACAAATTATAAAGAAATTACATGATTTTTGAATGTGCATCCAGAACTACTTCTAAGGATCTCATGTGGCTTCTGTCTTCCTCCTACCTTCATGTCTTGCCCCATGGCTCCTTGTTCTATAAATATTGAAATGAATTCTAGAAGGAGAATTTTCTGACACACACAGTTGTACAACTTCTTTTGACAAAAGTAGGTTAAACATTCACTTGAGAATCTACAGGAAAAAAAACTCCTAATTTCTCTTTATTTTTGTTGTCATGTTAAAGCCTGTTCCATGAATAGACCTTGGTAGTGAAAGTCAGTGTTGTGGTTTGAAATCTATAAAGCCAGCTATAGGAGTCTTACTGTAGCTTTACCAAGCATTAGTATTCACTAACTTTTAAGGTTTGGCCCACTGTATAGGTGCTACATTGGCAGTTCTAAAACACCTTTGTGAGAAGACTCCCTTAACCCTCAAAAACCAGCAGCAGAGCACTTCAGTAACACTCAGTAACAGACTTGAAAGTTGCCATACTTTGGGGGGGTGGGGAGGACTTCAGAAAGGGTTTTGTGTGAAACTGCAGAGCTGGAATTCATATGCAGATTTGACACTATCAGACGGGGTCTGAACATAAAATGCGAGTTACTGGCCCACTGTAAAAAGTCATTTTTCCTCTTTTGGTATTCACACCTTTTCATCAATGGTAGGGAATGGGCCACATCCACCTTGATTGAATTGACCTCCTTAGCACTGGCCCACCACATAGTAATGTAACACGCCCAGCTTTGCATGTGTACACACACCTGCCAAACCGACACTTCTATGTCAGGCGCCTGAAGTGGGATCCAGCCCACAAAAGCTTATGCCCAAATAAATGTTAGTCTTGTGCCACAGGACTTTCATTGCTTTTGCTGAAATAGACTAACACAGGTACCCCTCTGAAACTTCTCTTAAGGCAAGTCATCTTTGGTATTCCTTTGTCGTGTATTCATCACTGGGACATCACAGCATGGAAAAACTATTGCAAACGCTGTGTGTTGTAATCCGTTTCATGAGGGAGGGCTTCCTTACATCAGTTGAGCTAGTTGTGTGAAATAAAACTAGTTGTAGGTCTGTTATTTCTAGCACATGTCCAAATCCTAGCTGCCTCATGCTCTGTATCTTGTCATGCTATTTTGTTCTGCTTGAATTCTTTGTACTTATTTCTCATTTTTAAAAAATACCCGTTTTGCCTTTATAATGGGGTATTTACTTGGTTTTATCCACTTGTTTTACTCCATTGTATGTTGCTTAAGGCTCCAATGAGAGACTTCTGTTTGCATCCCTCTTTCTCTTTACTCTCTAAAGCAGGAGTGGGGGACCTTTTTTGGGCTGGGAGCTGCTGACCCATAGAAAATTAGTTGAGGTCCACAAAAGTGAGAAGGAACCCCCCAAACTCTCACTGATGTTGCCACTGACAGAAAAGGAGAAAAAGACTCCCCACATTTCCCTCACACCCCAGAGCCAAAGGGGGGCCCAGACTAGTAGATTTTTGTGTGCTCCAGCCACATGGTGGGGCGACAGGGCGCTGGAGTGCCAGCATGGGCTTCCCAGTGTTGGGGGGGGGGGAGGAGCCCTTACCCTCGGGGGACTACATCTGGCCCCAGGCCTTAGGTTTCCCACCGCTGCTCTAAAGTATGGATTTGTCCCTTGGGAGTAAGTACATAGTTATTTGTAGCCTGTACAAATTCATCTCTCTGACGCTAGTATTCATTCCTAAAGTAGTTATTTTGGGATTCAGTATTTGAATAAACAGACTATTGTTATTGGAGCTGTTAGTTTATGCAAGCTTCCTGATTGCCCATGTCTGTTAGTCCAGACAGAATACAGTGCTGAAGCTTCGTTGGTCCCAAGGTATTAGTGTTAAGGTGCTTGCGGCATTATCTTTTATTGGACCAACTTATGTTAATGAGACACAACCTTTTGAGCTACACGGCACTCTTCCATTTCTGGGTGGGTGTCAAACCACAGCAATCAGACACACGCATTTGGCAGGCTCATAAGTCAGACTAGGCAGTCAATGGGCATAGAATGTAGACTGCCTTCTCTCCCCCTGGAGAGGATGGTGTTCTATTCTAGTTTGACCTATATGTTGAGAACCATGTGGGCAGTGCTACTGCTGCTATACCTTTGCTATGGCTAAATGTTGGATTGCAGTCTCTACAGATGGCTGGCATCTTATAACTGCATTCAGTTAAGTTAAATAAAATATTGCGTACAGTTCTGGTGTTTGATAGAAAACATATTGTAAAAGTGGAATCAAATGGGAAGAGCAACCAAAATGAGTAAGGAGTAACTACTGAAGACCTACAATAGATAAAATTAACCATTTCTGTATAGATACGGTATGTATTTGGTACTCCTGCAAGTAAAGTTTGTAAACACCAAGGAGGATGAGGATTTGATTTCTTGAGGAAGTAAGGATTAATCAAATGGATATATATATGGAATAATTGCATAAAACTGAAGTGAAGGAAAACTTAGCATGGACATCAGGAAGTTTCCCCAGCAGTGAGACTTGTTAGACTCCCCAGCAGAGTACCAGTAGTCCTATTGCTAGCCGTCAAACTAAACCAAACACTTGAATATACTGCAGGACGCAAGCTTGTTTTGTTTTAGACAGAAAATTCCAGTTAACTCAGCTTCTCTCAATTATTTTGATTCTCGTATGAAATTTTGAAATCTCACATTAGGAATTGAGTTTGGACAACATTGTTTTTGCTCATATTGAAGTTTTGTGTATTTTAACACATAGTGTGTTGCATCCCAAAGTACATTTTACAATCTGTGCACAGTACAAATTAAATGAGTTCTGTATGTGGAATGGACGATAGTTGTATAACAGTTGCAGGCGGGGGAAATTGTGACCAAACCACTGAGACAAATCCCAGATCTTAAATGTACTATAGGTCCATGCAGAACACGCATTATCTTTATTGTTAAGGTCTCATAGAAAAGGGCCTTCCACAATAAACTCCATGGAACTCATTGTCTCTATCTGAATAAAAAAGGACTGAATAAAATCTGTTTATAAATTGACTCTGGTACCTGATGGGAGTTTAGACGTCTGAGTTGAGGGTCAGATCTTCAAGGCATGTCTTAATAGATTCTACATATGTAGCAGCATCAGGCAAAATAAGTTAGAGGATCAAGACCCAGATTACAAGAAACACGTATTCATCTTAAAGCAATGTACAATAAAACTATTGCATCTTTTAAGAATGTCAGAATGCTTCTGCCCTTTTTCAAGTAGTGAGAGCAGGTCAGTTTAGACTCTTCATAATGGGTTGATCTGGACCACTAGACTTCTCGACAGGTTTGGATTTGCAGTTGCTAGAATGCTCTTCTCAAATGCATAACTGGAAGGTTAACTTTCACTAGACACAGGCAACCTATCAATGGGTATGAACAGGGCTTTTGGTCAGTTGAAGGAAATAAGTGGGGATTAGATTCAGCTGTCATAAATCCAGTATTAAGCCTCCTCAGTCTCAGGAAAGAGAATAAGAAAGGTATTCCTATTGTTTTTAATAATCTCTATTAGGTAGTCCTAGAAAAGTGGCTGTGCTCATGAAAGCTCATACCACCAGCTACATTTTTTGTTAGTCTCTAAGGTGCTGCAGGACTATTCATTTAAAATTTTTTTAAATGGAATTACATAAAGGCCCTAACACATTATAAGGGTACTATTGCACATTCTCTTGGAGAGGAGACTTAATCCCCTTCCAATGTGGGGTAGATATCCTACACTTGCCAGCACTCTTTATGTGGTGTCGGTCATTCCTGTGTAATTGGCTAGTTCTTTTCCCACAAGGCTTGTATCATCTTAAGGGGAGAGAGAATTGATTACTAACTTCTGTGTTCGTCTCTTGTCAGTTTTCTGAGTGTAGCAGTGTCTCTTTTTTCCAAAATCTTTCATGTCACTTATGCTTTAACGTGAGCAGTCCAAATAAAACTTCCAGTTCTAGAGACTGTGTCTGCTTGGCTCTGAAGAGAATGTTTCACCATTGACATTCAGATTATTTTTCTTTGGTCTTTTCAACTCCATGTTCTCCAATTCTTCTTTGAGACAAATTACCCTCTCAGTATGGCTCATAAGGCTATTTGATCCAAATTTGTTGCATATAATTGATTTGGTGCGATTTTGTGGATGACAAGAATTCAAATGTTACCATTCAGAAGATTCAGATGTTGGCTGTTCTCCATATAGTGGTTTAGTTAAGAGATTTCCTCCATTCTCGCATCACCATATGTCTGTGTTCTCAGTGTTCTTTTCTTGAAAAAAAGAGCCATTTGAATAGTGTGTATTAGAGAAATGTTGGTGCAAATCCTTTGTTTGGAGATGATGAAACTGAACACAGATAAATATCAGGAAACTTTCCAGTGAGATCTATAAAATAGTAAGGGCAATGATGCGAACTTAGTGATATTTTCCAGAGGAATTCACTAACCAAAGACATTCATTGAGACCTTTTCAGAAAATTAAATGAAAATGCACTGATTAGGATTTATATAGAATATCCATTAAAATTAACAGAGGAGTCTGTATTGATAATCTGAAACTTTCAGCCACTAAGACTCTTGGTTGATATGTTTTGCCAGTATGTATAACACTTTTTAAAATATATACTTTTATAACAGGAGCATGAATCTGAAGGTGGAAGGACACCGCTAATGAAGGCTGCACGAGCTGGTCATTTGTGCACTGTACAGTTTCTTATTAGCAAAGGTAAAATATTAATATTGACTTCAGGGGCTGAAGTGTCACTTAACTGTCCTTTTAAATTTATCTGTTATGGGTTTAATTTCCTACTAGAATAGAATTTTTCCTTATGTCATGTATTTGGTTTACAGAGGTATGTGCTTAGTGCTCATTTTGGGTGAGATGATTTTTATTTCCGTTAACTCACGTTATACAGGTTAATTGCTCACTTTTGAGAGCATAAATACTTTGCTACTGAAAATGCCCCCCACCAAATTGTACAGATTAGGAAGGGGAAAGTATCAGTACCTGGTTATTGAATATTTCCCATATGATTTTCTAAAATGTTTTGCATTCACTTCTTGTCCAGAGTACTCGTCTTTTTAAAAGATAAATGAATAACCCCGTATTATGAACAGATTGTGATTCTGGGAATACAAAAACCAATTTTCTAACATTTATTTTAATCTCCTCCCTTTGCTCACTTACACTTCAGTATTACTGTACATCTTTTTGTGAAAGGATTAGGAATTTGGATGCAAATTCAAATGATCTAAAAATCTTCCTGTTTTCAGTTTTGAAGTCTTTGTTGTTGCTATCTTCATTCTGATTTTTTTATTGTAATTAACTTGCATCTTAGATTTGACACTCAAAATCAGAAAATACACCAGGTTTGTTTTTTTAATTTAAAGACAAAGAAATTCCTGTTAACTGTGCAAGAGATGTTTTCTTCCTAGGTGCCAACGTTAATAGGGCTACTGCTAATAACGACCACACTGTGGTATCGTTGGCATGTGCGGGGGGCCACCTTGCAGTTGTTGAACTCCTTCTGGCTCATGGTGCAGACCCTACTCATCGACTTAAGGTATTCAATTTAAATGCTCAGTCCTTTTGATATACTCATCCTTCATAATTGCTTATCCTTATACATTACTTGAAAGGAAAATACTGCAGAGTTTGCTTTGATTAAAAGGCAAGTCTAAACAATTTTAAACCTAAAAATGAAGAGACTTTTCTGTGAAATTATGTACCTCGGAGAATTGAACTCACCTTATTGTTCCATTTTCTCTCTCCAAACTCTCACTCCAGGATGGCTCCACGATGCTCATTGAAGCTGCAAAGGGTGGACATACAAATGTTGTTTCTTACTTACTGGATTACCCCAACAATGTTCTGTCAGTTCCTACTGCAGACATGTCTCAGCTCACACCACCTTCTCAGGATCAGTCTCAGGTAAGGCATGAAGAAAATTATGTCATTAAACCTACCTTTCCACAACAGAAAAGACACCTTTCTAGTAAGCGTCTCTTTTAATATTTAACAAGTGCAAACAAAGTTTAATGGAAATAAAATACAGATCAGAGACATTGACTTTTCCAAGTTACATATTTAGAAACTCTTATTAAAAAGGGGGGCGTAAATTAAGCTTTGTTTACTTAATTCCTGGAAAAATACATGTCTTACTTTTTAGTAATTTCTGCTCCCTAATAAGCCAGTCCAGATACAGACTTTCTAAGTGGCTCTTCTGCTTAATTGAAGTAACTCAGCCTTTGCCCTCTTGTCTCAGCATGTGTAAAGCCACATAGAAATGCACTGGAAATACTGCTGCTTGTTTTCCTTAAGCATTGGACTCTTCCATAAAGTAAAAGGCAGCTTATTGCATGTACCTGGGACTGTCAAAGTGGCCCATAAGAACTAGACTCCCTAAGAATGCTAGGAAAACCCCAGACTACAAAGAGATCCAAGAATCAGTCACTCAGGAAAAGAAAAGTTGCAGACAAAATCAAGTTATATTCAGAGTTTTGAAAACTGGATATATAATGTCTAGGCTAGTACCGTGTTCGAAGTACTTGCAAAACTGGCACATTTAACATGAAGTAGTTTTAAAGGCAAGAGCTTTTATTTAAAAAAACACAAGTATTGATTGCACTGGTTACTACATATGCAAGTTCAGTGTATGATTAATTTTCTCTGAGCAATGTCAGTTGTCAGTAGGGGCACATATCACTTGAAGTGGTAATGGTCGCTTTTTAAAAATAGATAACCTCCATTTAAAAAAACAACTTTCCCAACAGTGTTTGGATGGGAGGCTCTAATAGGTCCTTACTTAGAACCAATAAGTGAAGAATTACAGCTGCAGTAGCAAGTGTTGTGTTAGGAGTTCTTCACTGGTTTTCATACGCCTCCTTTCATGCATATGATTTGAAGAGGATGTAGCTAATGGAATTCCAACCTGGTGGCTTGTATTGGATCCCAGTTTACCTGTGGGCCTAATTTCCTAACTCTTTGTGACTGCTGGGGCCTCTCTTCCTCAAAATCCTTGGGACTCCCCAACACAGGAGGCAGTTTGTTTACCTTTTTTCTGGGTATGAAGTTTTAGGTAGTTCTACTTCATGGACAAGTAAATGCAGCGACTTCACCACTTTGGAGGTAGATGAAGAGAGAGAGTATGGCTGACTTTGCAGTTAATTTAGTATACTAAAAAAATGTTACTTTTGGAAGCGGGCATGTTAAGGAATAATGTGCAGCACACAGTTGGAAGGGAATGTACGCAAATAGGAATGTGCTTCTGGATTAAGTTATGAAACTCTTATGTGTATAAAACTGAGATGAGTTCTTTTTGAGTTGATTTTTTAGGTTCCACGTGTACCAATGCATGCACTTGCCATGGTTGTACCTCCCCAGGAACCTGATAGAGCTCCTCAAGAGAATTCTCCTCCACTCTTGGGAGTACAGAAAGGTCAGTATGTGGCCAGTTGAAAGTGTCTTGTTTTAGCATCTTGCAGGATTGGGGAAAGCTTTATTATAGTACTTCTGAAACTAATGTGTAGGTCAGTCCTCACTCCATCAATCCGAAACGTTGGTAATAGAGATGTAGTTCTAACAGGAGTGTGGTGTTCTTGGGAATGTAATTCATATGTATTATTGCATTGTGTAGTATAGAACATTGATTTCTGATCATGCTTATTGAAAAATTACTTCAAGAAAACGATCAATTACTGAATTTCCAATTAGTGTATTAGTAAGTGTGGGTGCAACCTCACGAAGACTTATGTACTGAGCACTGATCATTCTAAAATAGTTGCAATGAGAATATGGAAAATAATTACATCAGCCCAACTTTGTTTTAAACTAGTGACGTGAGTTAGGTATTGCCAAAACAATTAACTGTGAAACTACTTGTAGGAGATTCCTGATAGTGCCCAGTTTAAATTGTGGTTATGTCAGGGCTTTCATGATAAGCAAGGCTAAACTCATTTTCAGAAAGAGAAAATAATTTCAGTAGCTAAATGGCAGACATTTGGAAATGGATTTTGCTTTGAAATCTTTTGGGTCTGTTAAGCTAGTTCAGCGACAGAAAAGCATATATTGTGGAGGGTTCCAGATAGAGGCTCTACAGGCCTGCTAGCTCAGAGCAGGGCTGGGCAGACTTCTTGGCCTGAGGGCCACATTGAGGTTCAGAAGTGGTATAGAGAGCCAGATAGGGAAGGCTAGGGGAGGCTGTTTCCCCATCCCTGTCCCCCCAAGCAGCTAGGTGTGACCTGGCTACTGCCTGTATCTAAGCCCCACCCCCTGGGACCTGCCTGCCTGCCCATCCTCTCCCCCTCGCCGCCATCCAACCCTCTCTGCTCCCCACCCTCTGACTGCACCACTAAGCGCTGGGGCTGGCAGTGCTATGGCTGTGTGGCTCAGACACTGAGGGAGCTGAGACTGCAGGGGTGGGGCTGGGGATTGGGCTCCCTGGGTGGAAACTGGACAGAATAGTCTGTTGGGCCATGAGCTGTAGTGGGTCCCCATTCCCACCACTCACTCACTCACTCACTCACTCACTCTTACTTTAGATGGTGGTTTTTGTTTTGTTTTTGTTTGGGGAGGAGGGAAATTAAGAAGATTTTAAAATAGAAATGTGAAAGTTGCAATAGATGGGAACCATATTGGCTAGGCCTTAGTCATGTATAATTTGGACTGTAGGAAGGAGTTAATGCCTCAGTGGCAGACTCAGTACAGGAAACTGGCTAGAAAAAAGGTTTGAAAACTAAGGTTAAATATGCAACCCTAATTCTCCATTCTGTGAAAATGTGATATGTCTTGATTCTCTTCTCATGATAAGTTGTATTTGTGAAATAACATCATAGGGTTTTTTTGGACTACTTAAGACACATGTATAACTGAAGTGGCCTAGTGGGTTGAGACCAGACTGGGACTTAGGAGACCTGGGCTTTCTTCCCAGCATTGCACCTGGTCTGTTGGATAACTGGGCAAGTCATGTTCCTCTCTGCACCTCAGTTTCACCATTTCACCATAGAGATGCCCATTGTGTATAGCACTGAGATCTCATGAAGAAAAAAAGCACAGTATAAGAACTCGGAAACATTATTAACATTTGCAATCTCAAAATCTATTAAACTGATTTAATAGAACACAAAGCAAACATAAGCATCACAGTGAAAAGTATATACTGGCATAGAAAAATTTACAGCTAAATTACAATATTGATGATCAGTGTCTCAGTGATAAACATATGGCTGAAAAATCACTAACCTCTTAATTGGCTCGTGGAAACACATTTTTGTATCTTATGGAGAGCTTGGTTTTCATTTTAATCATTGGAGAAATTAGACATATTGATTGCATACTGATTCACACCAGTACTTGTGGCCTTCACTTTTTAAAACTAAATTTTAAAATTTGGATGCAATTTGAGAATAGGTTGCATGAGAAAATAAAAATGAGTCCTGCTCATACATAGCTAGGAGAAGCATATTTTCAATGCTACTCAAGGATTTCTCTGAAGAGCAGCATGTTACTCAAGTTGCTGTTCAGAAGTGTATTGGTCCTCCAAAGAAAATATGCAGTTTTATATGTTCTGATGAAAGTAAAATGCATAATATCTGTGAGGAGTAAATATGGAACATTACAGTGAATGTAGGGTGTATAACCTCTTCTGTGTATCTTAGATTGTAGAAAAATATTTTAAGTAATATGTTGTCATATAAATCATCTGTCCTTCCCCCCTCTCTCTCTCTTTTGTGTGTGTGTGTGTGTGTGTATACACACACACACACACACACACAATATTTAGCTTTTATCTAATAGAAGTAGAATAAGAGTTGTGTATTACTGTAAAATTTTCACTTCTAACTTTGACTTATGTAACATTACTGTTACATTTAGATTTTTTTTTTTGGTGTGGATTCTTTTGCTGGGGGGTAGGCAGGGCATTTGTACTAGAGGGTACAAAGAGAGGCCTGCTTGTTATTCCTGTGAAGAAAAATGCAGTGACTTGGTCAGGTGCTTAGGTCACAAAATTCACTTGCAATAGGAAAATAGACTTTTATACCCAAAAAGCTTTGACCAGATCTCTGACAAGGTTTACTCAAACTCTAACTCAGCTATTTCAAAATGAGAGGGTGTGATTTTTTCCTATTGGTATATCCATTAACTCCAGCACTACCAAGTTTTTTTAATTGATGTATTAAACTTTTGCAGCAAAATATTATAACACTTTTCATAATGAGGAGTTAGCAAATCAAATGTTGGGCTAGTGAAATCAGAGTGTATGCTGTTAGACGTGGCTTTTAGGCTTGAAGTGGACTCTACTAGGACTTCAAAAAAGCAGTTGGATTTAGGTATCTCAGGCAGATTGCCAGATTGGAGATGTAGGAGAAGAGTAAGGTTTAACATGTAAATAAATGGCCATTATATAACTAAATTGTTTTGACAAATATTTCGGAGAAAATTAAAACAAGTGCAAAAGTGACAACTGTCAAAAAGAAAATGGAAAATATAGATAATTATGCTGTCAGAATAGAAACTGGGTGAGCAAGAAGGTAAAGAATAATCAAAAGGAGTAAAATAATGTTTACTTTGAATTCTAATGCTTTCTACAAAACTAAGTGGAGAAATTACGAGTTACTACTTTTAATTTTTGTGAGTTGTAGTACACTTGTTAATGTCTGTCACTGCCCTCAACCTACTGAAATCAGAATTGCATAGTGTAATAAAGAATATTGACATAACCAAAGAAGGGTTTCCTTTAGCTAAAGTAGTGAGGAATGTATATCTGGAATTGAAGGACCCACACTATCCATGCATCAGCTTAAGTCTTTGCTGGCCATGGGTGTATGGTACAATGTTGACTATGAAATCTTAGGTGATCATGGATCTGTTACACAATGAAGCTCTTATGTGGTGATGTTGCAGAACTGTAGTGACTTGCTACACAGTGCTCTGGAGTAGTCTCACGAAAGTTTCTCAGCCAGATCAACAATCCTACTTCTGACCTTGATGAAAAAATAACTATTTTTTCCCTCACCAAAAAATACTGTCCTTCAGTAAGAAGGCAGATAAAATTTGGCAAGGCTAATCTAATGTGAGATCTTTTAAGTCTTTAACGGTAGTTTAAGTATCTTTTAATAAACAACTATTTTTCCTCACATGATATCAGAATTCAGTCTTAGACTTTTTCAGCCCAGAGAACTTTCTGTTCATTCCTCTGCAAATGTAACCTGTTAGTCTCATGTGTTACTATAGCGTAGGCTGCATCAGCTGTCTGTCCCCAGCAGGTGTAATTCTCAACATCACAATGTATGCATCTAATCCTCCTTCCGTTTTTTGAATGCACACTTAGACGTGTTGCAGTACTGGCTTTACAAAGAATATTAGCAGTACTGAAGTCAGTCTTGTGTTACTATCTCTATGGTAGATTTCAGTTGCACAAGTGTACATACTTATCAGATTACAGTTCTTTGTACACGTATTTAAAATAACTTGCAATAACTGATATATTAAAGCTAAAAAAGCAAGATAAACATAAAATTGTATAATATGGAAATAAAATTTACAAATTAGGGGTCATGCAAACAAATTAGCCCACTTATAGTAACTGTGCTAACTAACCTCTACAGTTCTTATGATTTTATTCATGCAATTATAAAATACAACCCATTAATGTAATTTTTAAAAGGCACTTTGAGTACCTAAGTATTTCTTTGTGATATGAATAAACTATTGCAATGTTATGATTTGGGTTCTGTTTTTACACCTATGAATTATCATGCATAGTGTGTATTCAAATTGTAACCCCTCTTGTTCAGCACAGGGGGTGCGAGGGGAAAGCACTTGATTGCCTGGTCTGGTTAATTCCCTCTAGGGCAGCTGGCATTGGCCACTGTCAGAAGACAGGACACTGGGCAAGATGGACCTTTGGTCTGGCCCAGAACGGCTGTTTCTACGTTCTTAACCATCATATGAATATGCATGTTAAAGTATCCCAATCAATTCATATTAGCCAATGGAATTTTATTACTCTTTGTACAAAGGTGTTAATGTCCACTGATGTCTTCTAAAAGTTAAGCTTAAAAAGGAAAAGAAACATTTAAATACTTAATTCTAGGTTGCTGGATGTCTGAGGTTTAAGCCCTGTTGAACCTGTATTTCAAGAATTAAAATACATAACTTTGCCTTGATTTTTTTTTAGAATCTACAATATGTGTAGGTGCAGTGGGTGTTAAGGATGCCATTGCACAACCTTATCAATAAATTAAGAAAATATTATGTAGATGAGGCTACTGTAAGGTGGGTACTGTAAGGTGGTTGGATACTCAGAGTAGTTATCTACTATCACAGTCATACTGGAAGGGCATAACAAATGGGGTTCCACAGGGACCGGTTCTGTTCTATATCTTCATCAATGAATTAATGGCAGAGAGATTACGTTTATAATATTTGTGGATGATACCAAGCTGAGAGGGGTTGAACATGCTTTGGAGGATAGGATTATAATTCAAAATGATCTGGAGAAATGGTCTGAGGTATAGATGGAAATTCAATAAGGACAAATGCAAAATACTCTACTTAGGACGGAACAATCAGTTTAACACATACAGAATGGGGGGAAAAAAAACTATCTAGGAAGGAATACTGCAGAAATGGATCTCAGGGTCATAGTGGACCACAAGCTAAATGAGTCAACAATGTGACACTGTTGCAAAAAAGAGCAAACATCATTCTGGGAGGCATTAACAGGAGTGTTAAGACACTAAAAGTAATTCTTCCATTCTTCTCTGCACTGATTAGGCTTCAATTGGAGTATTGTGTCCAGTATTTAAAGAAAAATGTGGAGAAACTGGAGAAGGTCCAGAGAAGAGAAACAAAAATGATTAAAGATCTAGAAAATATGACAGGGGGAGGGGAGACTGAATGAATTGGATTTGTTTAATTTGGAAAAGAGAAGGCTGAGAGGTGACATGATAGCAGCTTTCAGGTAGCTAAAAGGTTATTAGAAGGAGTAGAGAGAGAAATTATTCTCCTTAGCCTCTGATGCTAGGACAAGAAGCAGTGGGCTTAAATTGCAGCGAGGGAGGTATAGGTTGGACATAAGAAAAAGCTTCCTGTCGGGGTGGTTAAGCATTGGAATACATTTCCTAGGGTAGTTGTGGAATCTGCATCTTTGGAGATATTTAATGGTGGGTTAGATAAACATCTGTCAGGGTGCTTGGTCCTGTTGTGAGGACAGGGACTGGCCTTTATGGACCTCTCAAAGTTCCTTCCAGTTCTAGTGTTCTAGGATTCTGTGATATATATCAAGAAGATCTGAAAATAATCTGTTTATTTAATTTTGCATTAAGATTTCCTCCCTCAGTCTGTCTTTTCATATGATGCTGTAGTGAAGGTAGTATTGTTACATTTGATATTAGAGTATTAAATATTGGCATTGTCACAAGTATAACTGAATGTGGCCTCCTGTAAAATGTTATTGTGGGAATCATGAAATCCATCATAAATTTGACTCTTTTGGACCTGCTGTTAGGAGCAAACATTTAAGGCTGTGCTTACCTGAAAGTCTGTAAATCTTTGCAGTTAAGCCTTTTTAAAGTGTGAAGTGAATTATCCCAGAAAAACAAATTTTAGATATTTAAAAATTAATATTTGAGGATTGTAGTTACTAACAAACTTTATTTACAGTGTAAACTTCAAAGTCTTGATAAAGTCACTTAAGATTCAAACACTCACCTTTATTCTTATTTACCCCCCTCCTTCCATCAACAAGATTACAGGCTCAGATATTTACTGTCTTAGAAAAAGTTATATAGTGTCCTGAAAATGTGCAGTTGATTAAACACCTCCCTGCTCTCATCATTGCTGGTGGAAAACATGTACAGGAAGACCCCTACTTAGAAATGGGTTGTGTTCCAAACGTTTGTAAGTTGGTTGGTTGGAACTTGGAACACACATTCTCCCAGCAACAATGTTATAAATGGTAGTTAGGTTCCCAGGCCTGCCCACAAAAGCCTATTTAACCCATAATGTAGCTGAAATACTGTATATTTGCAATGAAAAATAGTAGAAATAGTTTATTTAACCTTGAATGCTGGTGCTTGAGGAAAGGCAGGTTTAATTAGAGGGGGAGGAGGAGGATGTAAATGGAGTTTCTGAAGGGAACTTCTTGGCACCTCCTAGCTGTCACCGCTATCACTACCCCTTGAGTTCTATGGTGGCTGCTGGCCTACCCCTCATCCCCCCCCCCAGTTGCCATTTCTCCTCCTCCTCCTGTCCACCTCCTGTGGGCTGCATGCAGCCCTTGTTCACCAGGAGACGGCAAGTGGGGGCTGGTGGGGGCGAGGACAGGGGAAGGCTGTGCAGCCAGCAGCTGAAGAGAAGCATTGGTTTCAAAGGGCCACTTCTCTCTAGCCTATGGCTACGTGACCATCCACTGCTTCTCTGGAGTCCTCTGGCCAGCAGTTGTGCTGCTCACCACCACCTGTGCCTCTTGCCTGCTGCCCTGAGGCTGCAGATGAGCTTTTGTTTCTATGTGGGTGTTTGTGAGCCAGATGTTTGTAACTGGGAGTGCCTGTATCTTGTTACCCTTCACATATTGTCCACAGTACCATGCCCCGATCTGCCCGACAGCATACTGTGTGCTGGGTTCATTTTTCCTGTAATGGCTAGAGACTGAATGCTCTGGATTCATACCACAGATCAGTTTTTCCCATGTACCCCTTGACCATGTGAACCACAGACATCCACGCACCATTGGAGAATGGGCCTAAGAACCTCCTGTGCCTCAGTGCTAAAACCTGAAAATGGCCTAGTCCAGTAACTTGCTCTGAACGAAGACAAAGCATACAAATGTTCAGTTGCAAAGGGGTTTTGAGTTAAGTGGGCACAAGGAGCTGGGCTGCAGGTCAAAAAGGGACTAAGAACGATCCCTGTACTCACTATCTGAAGCAGATGCTGAGTGATGAAGTTAGCTGTTAAACACAGTGGTCTCAAGCCATAGCCCTGGTCCAGCTATGTTGAATTGTGGAGGATTCTTCCTATTTTTGATGAGGATTAAGTTATTCTGAATGTAATTTTTCCAGTTTTATCTGTTGTATTTTTCAATATATTAAATGACAAGGAATGTTGTGAGCAAGACATGAGAAGTCATTCTTCCGCTCTACTCTGTGCTGATTAAGCTTCATTTGGAGTATTGTGTCCAGTTCTGGGCACCATATTTCAAGAAAGATGTGGAGAAATTGGAGAAGGTCCAGAGAAGAGCAACAAGAACGATTAAAGGTCTAGAGAACATGACCTATAAAGGAAGATTGAAAGAACTGGGTTTGTTTAGTTTGGAAAGGAGAAGGCTGAGAGGGGACATGACAGCAGTTTTCAAGTATCTATCTAAATGGGTGTTACAAGGAGGGGGGAGGAAAATTGTTGTTCTTGGCCTCTGGGGACAGGACAAGAAGCAATGGGCTTAAATTGCAGCAAGAGAGGTTTAGGTTGGACATTAGGAAAAACTTCCTACTTATCAGGGTGGTTAAACACTGGAATAAGTTGCCTAGGGAGGTTTTGGAATCTCCATCACTGGAGATGTATAAGAACAGGTTGGATAGACATCTTTCAGGGATGATCTAGATAGTGGTTGGTCCTGCCATGTGAGCAGGGGACTGGACTTGATGACTTCTTAAGGTCCCTTCCAGTTCTAGTATTCTCTGACTACTGTTACTGTGAAAATTGGTGTCCAGTAAAGTAAGCTAGAGTTTTTGCTCCCCTTTCAGTTTTTTCATATTAATATTACATTTGGTATATAAATACCTAGTAGATTTATTCTTGAGATTGGTCAGTTCCGACTATCACGTAGCAGTATACAGTTCTTTTGTTGTTTCCTCAAACTAAAGCTGGCCTTCTTGAAGGCTCTGATTGCTTTTAAGCACCTGTGAATGTGCACCACCAATGAAAAAACAAAAACTTAGCTGAGAGCACTCTGCTAATCAACTGGGCAGTATTTGAATCTCTCGAGTGGTTGCACAAGCACACAGCTTGCAGGGAACACTGTTCTAGATACAAAATTTGTATCTGCACCCATATCTGCAAAAATGAGCTGGGGATATCCACAGATTTGCAGGGTTATAGAAATGTGGTCTAGAAATAAAATGCTAATGTTAGTTTCCCTTCAGTATAGACAGCCTTGTTTTTACCTTTATTTTGGAAGTTACCTCTGTGTAAAAGGGTTTGTCCTGTTTCTGAGTTTAGTTTGCTAATTTTCTTTTCTTAGAGCAACTTCATTCAAACCACTCAGTAAGTTATTAAAACAGTCATGTACTGCATCCTCTGAGCGATTTCCCTGATACTCACTGTCATGAGTCTGAGGGCCTTTTAAGCTTAAAATATCTGTATTGTAAAGGAGTTAAGGATCAGTATTTAAAATTCCAGGTATATTTTTCCATCTATCTAATCTGGAGTGTAGCCTTTAATTTAATTCATGGGTTGACGGATGTGCAGTTTTAGTTACAAAGTTTTGGGTCGGGAGAGAGGGGTGGTGTGGGGTAACTTCAGCATGGCATTTTTTCAAACATTTTTCATGTGCTTAGGTACATCCAAGCAGAAGTCAAGTTCCCTGCAGGTAGCAGATCAGGACCTACTGCCACCTTTTCACCCATACCAGCCTTTGGAATGCATAGTTGAAGAGACTGAAGGCAAGCTGAACGAACTTGGACAAAGAATTAGTGCTATTGAAAAAGCACAACTTAAATCATTGGAATTAATTCAAGGTGAACCTTTGAATAAAGATAAGATTGAAGAACTTAAAAAGAACAGAGAAGAACAAGTACAGAAGAAGAAGAAAATATTGAAGGAGCTACAGAAGGTGGAAAGGCAGTTGCAGATGAAAACACAGCAGCAGTTTACCAAAGAATATTTGGAGACCAAAGGTCAGACAGACACACCACTTCCCCTGCAGCAGCAGTGCCCACCCACAGGTGTCTTCCCAGAAGTGGAAGGAGATGAGGGTCTACCAGAGGAAAACTTTTCAGAGTTACCTCAGGTTGACACAATCTTGTCTAAAGATGACGAGCAGCAACAGTCTTCACCACCTGCTGAGCAAATAGAATTTGTCCCTATCCAGGCATTGTCAACACCTCAATGTAATTTTTCCGGTAATTTAGGTTATAATGGGACAGATTCTCTTGACCTTCAGAAAGTACTAGGTAATCAGCAAAATGTAGGACAGCAGCAGCAAATTGCTGGACATGGGCAGGGGCTGTTAGTTCAAGAACCAGACGGATTAATGGTTGCCACTCCAGCACAGACGCTTACCGACACTCTTGATGACCTAATAGCAGGTGGGTTAAGAAATATACATATTTTTGCATTAACTTGTGTGCTCCGTTTCCTTTTTTTCTGTCTTCCCCTCAAAAAAGACATCTTATGGTTTTCCAATTTGGGAATACTTGCTTAGGAATATTTAATTTATTAGTGCTATTAATCTTTAGACACTTCCAAATTCTAACATGAGGGTTTTTTCCTATTTATTTTGCCAAATTGCAGAAGGCAAAGAGCTAAATTTCATTTTATTAGAAGCCTATTATAGCAGCCCTTGCAGCCTCATCTTTTTTTAATATTTTAAGGAAATATTATTAGCAATTAGTAGTTGCCATTAGGAAACTTGAAATCATGACTAGTTTTACCTACATGGATTTACTTAATGTGGCAGTTGTTTCCAGTGAAGTAGGAAAGCCTTTGTTTTGTCACTTGTACTGACAAATGTACCACTATCTTTCTTCTGGAAGCACTGATACAGATTTAAACACAATCTAGCCTCTTGATACAGATTCAAGACCATCTGTCCCTTAGTGCTTATTTATAAAAATTCAGTTGTGTTTTCAGAATAAATTTCAAACATCACTTATTAAAGTAATATGATTACTGTTTCACAAAATTTAAAATGTCACATACTATGAGGGATCAAATGGTAGTGGACCCACAGGATGAATATGCTACATTTGGCTGTCTGGATGAAAAGCAAAAATCAAAACGTTCCTGGCCTTGCAAATAAGTGTATGAAGATACAAGTAGAGATGAATCAAGGTTTCCCTACGTAAGGTTATACTTGCCTCTTTCCATAATGTGGCTAGTATTATATTTGTGGTGCTCGCTTCAGGTATCTAGCCAGGATTTTTATTTTTTGGTGGAGGTGTGAAAGATCTAGCCACAATTGTATGCATAGGCAGGTCAGTCCTGACTGTCCTATTTTTATTAGTGTTTTTAATCTAGCATCTCTCTCACCTCTTCTCAACTACTTCCGTCTGTCCCTTAGTCTTTATTCTCTTGTCTTTCTTCCTCCTCAGTTAGTCGCTGCCCTATTCTCTTAATTTCATCTCAAGCTTTTTAGAATTTCTGACTAAGACTTTTTGCTAAATTTCACAGGAGTCTCCAAACTAGTAACTTGCTGAAGTACATGTATCAGGACACACTGCAATTTTGCAGTTTTCCCTCAAGCCCTATTAGATACTGTGGGATAGTTGTAATAAGTGTTACAAGATCAACTGCTTTCAGATGGTGATGTATAACTTCATTCAGAGAAACTCTCTGTAGCATGTGAGGGAGAGAGGGCTATGGGTCCTGCTTCCTGACATTTTTGTTGTCCCTTGTCACCCCAAGTCATGTTTCTGCAGAGCATAAAGAGGAATGAATTTACTTAAACATGAGTAAACCTGGATTATTCTTAAATGATCTTATGGAAATTCTAATTGGAAACTTTAGAATATAGTGAGGCAAACATTGGGTTTAATGCAGATGATTTACAAGATCTGAATTTTGGGATGGGATATTATTGCTATGACATGTTGTGTATGCAAGTCTGCCACAAATCTCTAAATGGGTCGTACAACGTACATTTAAAAAGCTGATGGTCACATTTTAAATTACTAATTGTATGGTCTTCATTTATATCTAATGTAACTGCAGTAGTAAAAGGAGAACTTGCAGTGATCATCCTAATAGTGGAATTTAGCTCTTGTTTATACTAATGTTGCATTGTCTCACATGAAATATCTTAACTAAATTCCCAAAAATGTTAACGATAAATAGTTTAATCTTTTAAAAATGAATCATTTTGTGCTTGCATTTCCTAAATTTAGTTAGCTTAAAGTCAGATATGAGACACAGAAGATTTACTATTTAAACGCTTGAATTTATTTACCTGACAGATCCCTAACACATATTTCATCTAACCTAAAACCCTGGTGACATATTCAGCAATATGATCATGAAAATCCTGCATGTTATCCATTAAAATCACAAAACTGATTTATTACGATCTAACCAATTTAATGAAAATTATATTTTTATAAAAATGAAGTTTTTACTTGTATTTCTTTATTAAATTTAACTGGCACTAACAATATCTGAAGTGCCTCAAGTATATCTCAGGGATGGGCAACCACAGATAGTGGGTGCTGTGCATGAGTGGCCCTTCACCTCAGTGGCCCATTGGGGTTCTACCTGCAGCCCCATGGCCCAACTGCTGCCCCCTTTGCACGCCTCTCACATTGGGGCACCAGTGCCCGACACTTACCTGCTCCTTCCTCTCCCTTCCAGCACTTTTGGAACATGCAAATTGCCTCATTTGTGATTGTCCTTGCTCCTCATTCTCCCTGTCAGCGATGGCATGCTGCAAACAGCTGATTCATGGCATTCCAGCTCAATTTGCAATCAGGCAATTTGCAGCTCCTCAAAGTGCTGGGAGGGAAGGGAGAGGCGTAGGATGTATGGAGCTCTGGTGCCCCAGTGCAAGAGGTGCATAGGAGAGGGGTGTACCCAGGCGGTTTATGGGTTGCAGGTAGAGCCTTAATGGGCCTCATGCAGCCCATAGGTCAAAGGTTGCCCACAGCTGATTATAATATATTTCCAATAATGCAGCCATGAATGGACTTCAAAAATCCCAGCTAAGTATGTTGTTGCTACTGAGAGTAACTGAAAGTGGTGGTATTCCACTCATGTTTTTCCCCCTGATTTTCTCAACTATAACTTAAACTTTTTGGCTACGTCTACACTGGCCCCTTTTCCGGAAGGGGCATGTAAATTTCACTAGTCGTCGTAGGGAAATCCGCGGGGGATTTAAATATCCCCCGCGGCATTTAAATAAAAATGTCCGCCGCTTTTTTCCGGCTTTTAAAAAAGCCGGAAAAGAGCGTCTAGACTGGCCCCGATCCTCCGGAAAAAGCGCCCTTTTCCGGAGGTTTTTTAAAAGCCGGAAAAAAGCGGCGGACATTTTTATTTAAATGCCGTGGGGGATATTTAAATACCCCGCGGATTTCCCTACGACGACTAGTGAAATTTACATGCCCCTTCCGGAAAAGGGGCCAGTGTAGACGTAGCCCCTGAAGATGATCAGGAAAGAATTGAGTTACTTTGCACTAGTTGTCAGAATCCACACTGACACGTCTTCTAGTAGAGATTGAACCTTCAAAGTAATGAGCTCACATCTCATCATGAAGTTACATTAAAAAAATCTTCAAAGAATCTTAAACTTGTTTCACCTTAACTTCACATTTTATCCACATTCAGGGTGCTCTTGAACACTGCACACTGGCAAGGTTGGGCTCAGATTATGGTGCTGTTTAATATGGGAGGAGTTTTGCAGTAGAAAATATGGAAATGGAAATAAAGAAGTCTTAAATACACAAACTACAGTAGTAGATTTTTATATATAATGACAATTGCTACCAGGTCCATTGTTTCTTGAAAGCCTTGTCTTTTTTTCTTAACAAACAAAACAAACTAAATTTTCAGAAAGCCTTTTGGGAGAAATGTCCCATGATTGCCCTACCTCTGGTAGAACTGCACCAATGACCGCAACTGTGGGAACATTAGTGTAGAAAGGGCTGCAGCATTTTTACTACTGTGTATGATAGCCCAACCCAAATGGTACACAATGATAAAAATACTGGCAGTAACTAGTGTTCTTTTGATACTAATGCTTCCACTATCCCCTGGAGTCGTGCAACAGTGGGCAGACTTCTCAGATGTCCAATTTAGACAAGACTTAAGTTTTATAGCATGAACTTCCTTAAATCTCTCCAAGGAATGTCTTTATTGAGCAATTTTGATATTAAACGTCATTATAACTCTTCATTATTGACCAGATTGGTAGTTTATCAGCTAAAAGAAGTGCTATTGTGACTAACAGGGCAATTGATGTTACTGAAGGTTTTGGATTGTAATGTAGAGTTGGAGGTCTTAAATTTTGTAATCAGGGAAATTTATGGTTAAAACTACCCATTTTGTGAATTCACCTTAATGACGTCTGTGATCCTGTATACCGTCTCTGCTGCAGTAATTAAGCAGCATTTGGAAAGTTAAGATGAACTCCTAAATTTAGAGTGAATGTGGTTGCATTATCCTGAATGATAAAACATAAATTGAATTTCTTTAATTCTGTAGGAAACATGCATCTAATTCTGAATCCCTTCGCTGAAGTTGTACTATACTAGTTGCAGGGTTTAATTGGATTTTATAAAGGTGAATTAAACTATTAGTTCAGTGCGTAGAATGTTAACAATTAGTGCTTATTATATCTTCTGAGACTTGATAGGTAAACCTAGGTTCACAGTTTTCTGACTTCATTGTACGACTGCAGTTCTAATTTGGCATACAAGACATTACATGCTATATAATAGGAGGTTTTGTAGTTTATATTGCATGCATACATGTATAGCTTTGTCATTTAACCACATAAGTTAAAAACTTTTTGGTGACTTCCTCGGGACATTGTTACATCCCTTTGTTGCCAGTTTCTGTATATTATCCAATTTGCTGATTTTTTTGCTCTTGTCAATTTGTGCTGGTCAGTCATCCTTTTCATTTGAACAATAGATCTTTTGTACCTTGCTTCGGTCTGGAATTCTTTCCTTAGAGTTGGTTAGTGACTGAATCTGAATTTATAAATGTAAACTTTCAGTTTACTGAATGCTTGGTGCATTAATTTTGCTAATTTTTGTTTGGCTCTGAAATCTATGCTTGTGAATGGTTCCACAAAATTTGACATGTTCATTTTTTATTTCTAGAATCATTCATAAAAATGACTCTGGGCTATTGCCCAGAATAATTCTGGTCACCAATATAATCTACAGTGGAAAATGTTGACACAATGTGAAAAAGTAACAATTATATCTCTGCACATTCCTTTTTAAAATAACACAGGTTAAAAGTTGTTTAGTCTGAACATTAACAGATTGTCATTAGTTTTTAAACGATAAATAGATCACAGTGTGATGGTTTATTGCTAAAATAGGATTTTAAATTATTGGGGGTTTTTTAAATTCTAGGGAGAGCTCTTACAAAAGAGACCAGACAATACTCAAATATTACAGATTTACATTCATGGAAAAATCAAAGTAAATGAACCTACGTTATTAGTCATACTGTCTTTGGATAGGTAAAATTCTTGGTGGCAACTGTCTTTATTACAGTATTTTATATACAGTAAAATGAAGTAGATTTAGTAGTTCATAAATAAAGTAGTTGGTAATCTAATTTCACTTTCATACTGCAACTGTCAGATCAGTGTCAATCTCTGCTCGCCTTAACTCCTTGAAATGTTTTAATGCTTAAAATGTGCTATGGACCTTGAGCAAAATGCCAGATTATCAAAGCAGTAGTTCCTAGTCTGGTTCCCTGTAATCTGCCCAAATTTAAAAAATACCAGTAATATTTTTAATATCTCAGAGGATTTTTCTTAACATTACTAGTGATTATTAGAGTAAAATATATTTTGAAAACGTTTAGGGCCTCCATAAACTTACAAAGAACGAATGACGAAGCCCTAAAAAAAGTGAAGTCATTTAAACTTCGGACTTATTTAGGCAACAAGTTCATTGAATATGTTGCGAATAACAGTGTTCTTTAAATATCTTCTTAGTATTTTCTGTAGGGAAGCATCTAAAACCAGTTTTGTCACAAAATATTATACAGAGCCCAAATTCCATGTGGTGAAACACTAATTATTTTTAATTCTATATATTGATAATTGTGTTTAGCTAATCTGTATACTTGCACTTCTGTCTTCTCATTAGGATCTAATCCTCTCAAGTATATTGTGTGCCTACATGTCTTTGTTTCGGAGGTTAAGCAGCAAACTTGGCTTTCATGTCAGTATGAGTTTTTGTGTTTGTGTGATATTGCACTGCACCTTGTAACTTTAGTGCATAAAGAAGTTATTTACTTGTTCCCATAACATAAGAACTAGGGGTCACCAAATTAAATTAATAGGTAGCAGGTTTAAAACAAACAAAAGGAAGTTTTTCTTCACACAGTGCACAATCAGCCTGTGGAACTCCTTGCCAGAGGATGTTGTGAAGACCAGGACTTTAACAGAGGATTCAAAAAAGAACTACAGTAAAACTCCATTGGTCCGGCATCCAATGCTCTGGCACTCCTGATGGTCCGGCACCATCGGGAACCCGGAAGTGCTTCAGGAAGCCGGACCATTGGAGCTGCTCTGAGCCCGGCTTCCCCGATTCAGCCGCTGCTGAAACTGACCAGCAGCTGAATCAGGGA